GCATTTGGATTTAGCTGTCATTTGGGTTGCAAGGTTTTAGGACTTCAGTTTCTTCCTCCTTTTCTTTTTTGAAGATGTTTGAGTGGAAGTGTGAAACTCACCATAAATGTGTTGGAGACATACTCATGAAGAAGACCTTTTGTCTCTCAGGGTTGATGCTGGATTCCAACCATTCTGCCCAAGTTTGTAAGGCCAGTCTGTATGCTGTAGTGACATTATATTCTTGGACATCAGGAGATCCATATCTGGGGAAGACAAGCAAAACATAATTCATTGTCAAATCTCAAATCCTACTCTACTCTCGTCTCAAAATTCACTCAACAAGACTAACTTAAATACAAATGCCTTCAATTGGTTAACGCATTTCTAGTGACATTAAACGTTAGGTGATCAACAAATTTTGGCCATGAAATTTGCATTTAGGATTCAGGACCATCAACAAAGTGGAGATTGAATGTCACTAAAAATGCGTTAACCAATTGAAATCAGAACGATGAAATTATGACATAGGGGTGCCCTATAAATATGTCACTCACGTAGCATTGATGGTAGGCTTGTGCATCCACCATACATAGCTCTCGAACACCAAGATATCTACTCCTTCCCAGTGTTTTCCATGCTTAGCTATGGAGTCTAACTTCACCAGCCGTTTCAGTACTGTATGTTTTGTCGCATGGTCCGAAATCGACTCCACAATAAATGGAGCCCAGTAGTATTCAATGGATGCATCAAACTCCTGGGAAAGGGGAAAAAGAGTTTGCCTTAAAATGTAGGACACAATGAGAAGTTCCTAAGACCTGAAGAGCATGAGGGGGAGTCGAACTCTTACCTTAAGCGTGGGGTTAGTGTTTTAAGACATGAGCTTTAAGCCTCACTAATGAGAGGGTTATTTTGCATATAAAATGTTTAAGTTAAAGGCAGTAGAATGTTTACCTCAACTTTGAAGATCTTTCTGGGAGGGACCCTTTGGAGAGATTTCTTTCCTTGAGGAATTATAGATTGAACCATACAGACTAGGGATTCAAACTGCCCTCTCTGTACAGAGTCTCCAACAAACATCAGCCTTTTACCCCTCAAAATCTGCATTAGCTTCAATGGATCAAACCTGAATTCAAAGCCAAAGCCACTTACTAAAAAAAAAATTGAAAAGCATGAGATGGTTCGACCCACATCCCATATAAAATGCTTGAAAACAAGTTTCTTGCCCAATTGACATGAATTAGGCATGAAATAAGTCCACTTTTTTTCCCAGTGAAAATCCAATTTCAAGATTAAAAACCATCAGAATAATTTCATGGGCCACTTTTGAAAAAGAAAAACAAAAAGGAAAATCAGCACCTCTTGTGATGTTTTCCAAAGAAATTTTCACAGCACATTAACTCTGCTTTTAAGAATGATTATTGCTTCATTGTTTCTTTCTTGGACTGTCATATTGTGCCCTTAGAATTTAGAATGCATGCAAAAGTGTAGAGTTTTTTACCTTGGGAGGTTGCAGTCATTAGGTTGCCACCTCCAATTCTTATAGTAAGAATCGGGCCTACCATTTCTTTGGCAAGTAACTTGCTTTACCAAGTAAGGACAGCTCTCTTCTGTATAGTGAGGATGGGACACATTGTCCCACACCCATTTCCCTTCAAACACATTGCAACTTTCATCAATCCGGTCCTCAGGGGAAACAACAACTGCCGGTCTCTGTTGTTGACCTCTTGGCCTGCCATATAGCTGAAAGACAAAGCTGTCATTGCTCTTCAAGGCGTCGAGGACTAGTCGTGCAGTCCCAAGGACAAGCAGAGAAGCCAACGCAACCGGGAAGAGGGATTGGATTCGACGGTCAAGAGAGAGCTGCTGCCTTGTCATTTGGGGGAGGTGATGAAGATGATGGCTATGGTTTATGTTTGATTGTTGAAAGACATTTTCTTGGTGAAGTATTTGAACAGGGTACCTTGAAGTTTAAGTCTTTTTGGTGAAGTGACACATGCAACCACCAGTTGGTAGGATCAAGTTTTTTAGGTATGTCTCATTTTAAAATTGAAATAAGGCTGTTGTTCTTTTGAACTCCTATGTGGGCCTTCAGATAGTAAACAATCTTCTTGATGCCATAAGTGATTTTCTTCCCACTATGTTATTTTTTTATTTTTCAAGTAACATTAGTTTTCATTGATGAAGAGAGGTGGCATGTTGAACTCCCTGAATTGGAGCCCATCATCAGTGGTTGTTGATTGTAGGCCCTTTCTGTTTTGACCATGAATCCTTCACATGGAGAGGGAACTCTTATGCTATATTTGCTATTCTCGTCAATAACACAATTATACGTGGGATAACTTTTTTATGTGTCATTGTGTTATTCCGGTCACAAGAGAGTTTTTGTCCTTCATAATGATCAATTATGCATTGGTCTTGGGGCAAAAACCTTTCTGAAATTGGAGAAATTATTGTAAAATATTATAATACAATTCGTTCCCGTATGTGTCAGAAGTTAATTGAAAAAAATGGAAAAAAGCAAAAGAAAAATCACACAAAGAAAAGGGGGCACAAATATCTGAACCCCCAAAAAAAAAAAGGGAGTTTCACTAAAATACCCAAAATGGGGGCTGAAATTATAAAAATACTCAATACCCAAAACACTTTATAAACATACCCAAAACTCATCATTACACACACTTAAAATTCATTTATAAACATATCCAAAACCCATCATTACACACATACCCAAAACCCATTTTGGGTATGTTTCTATGTTTAAATAGTGCTTGGGTATTTTTATAAATACATGTCTAGGATTTGGTATTTTTATAAATATCTAAATAAATAAATAAAAAATCTGAACCCCAAAAGAACCCATAAAACCCAATAACCTCACTTAATCCATTTCCTCTTTGGTGTTTACAAACACTGAGAGCTTGAGACCCAAAACCCCCTAAACCCAAACGGACAAAATAACAAAGCACAAAAACAATCCAATCCAATCCTCTCTGAGCTCTCTCCCTCTCTACCCAAAACATGATTATCAGTAGTAGTTGTGTGCGTACATTTTGCCCGCGCCTCACGTCGTCGTCGAAGAAGCGTGCCCTCCGGACGGCTGCGCTGGTGACTTTCACTATCCGCCGGCGACGTTTGAGCACCGCGTGCTCAGTTTCAGCCACCAAGAGTAAAGAGAAGGAGAAGGTGATAGTCGTATCTGGGCCCACCGGAGCAGGGAAGAGCCGCCTGGCTTTGGAGCTCGCTAAGCGGCTCAATGGCGAGATTATCAGCGCCGACTCTGTTCAGGTTTTAGCAAACACACAATACCCAGTTGGTTTTTCTTGTTCTCTGTTTGGGTGCTGAGAAAAAAAAAGGGAAAGAAAATGGAAAAATGTAGCTTTTTTCAAAGTAAGCGGCAGAGTGGTTAGTTCATTAGTTGGGTGTTCTTGAGATACTAATTTGTAAGTATGGAGAGTTTGGTTTATTGGGTATTTAGTCATAAACCATGTTACTTACTGATACTAATAGACAAAAAGAAAGTTGACATTGTGTTATACCAAATGGATTTGAATTACTTAAGTTGAAAATTTTAATTGTTATAATCAAGCTTGCCTTCAATGAATAATGCTAATTTCTGTTTATAGAGGCCACAATAATCTAGATAAGGAACTGAAATGTAAAAAATTCCAAACAAATGATAAACATCAGGAAATACACAATAAAATAACTATGAGCATCGAAATGGAAGACAACTCAAAATATCAAAATCTCATTCAATATAACATTGCCTTGTTTGGATTGCCTTTTGTTTATGCTTATAACACTTAACAGGCAGTGCAATATTGCTTAAAGTGATTTTGTTTGATATGGCTTTGTTGCCTCAGGTATATCGGGGACTTGATGTTGGATCTGCCAAGCCTTCCCCAGGTGATAGACAGGTGCTTGCCTAATTGAGAAAATTGTACATTTAGTGTATGTATCTACCATTGAAATTTAATTTATGATAATATAGACTTCTGGAGTATGTTTGTTTCAGTTGCATTGTATGCCATATTAGTTTTATGTTTTTTTTTTTCATTTTGACCTTTTAATGTTTGTATCTATGGTGTTATGTCGTGCTTAGATTTTACATTTTAATAATTGTAATATGATAGTTGTGGATGTATTGTTCTGCCATTCTGACATGAATTTTTGACCCTTTTAAGCACTAGCAATTCATATTATATTCTCTAACAATTCACATAATATCCTCATTTAATTTTATCTCTTCTCTGCAATTCAAGAATAGTTCATATGGAGTAAGTCTATTGTATAGATTGCTTGTCTGATTATTAATGCAGAATTTCATATGTAGGTAGAAGCCTTTATGTCCTAATGAAGTTTTGCATGGAAAATAGAAATACTTCATCATATTGATAAAACAGCAAGTTTCTAGCTAATTCAAAATATAACGAAAACAAAGAAAAACAAAACTAGTATAATTACAAAGTAGGTTTGTTTAACTTGATACTAAATTTTACTGCTAATGATTGATTGGGCAACTTCTCCCTGTGTAATCTCAACTGGTCTGTTTTTTTCAACTGGATTTTTTTATTCTTTTTGGTGGATTTTTTATAATAATAATTCTTCTTTTTTTGTTTTTCTTTCTTTTAATGCAGGAGGTGCCGCATCATCTTGTTGATATTTTGCACCCATCTGAAGGTGTGTTGTCTACTAAATTTAAGGGCAGATAGAAATGTATCATAGCATATTATGTCTTCATCTTCTAGGATTTGGAGGCTATAATTGAAATTTGGGTGTTGTGGGATGCTTGGATGATGTTGAGTTTTCTACTGCTAGGTTTGGAACTTTGGATATTTCTGTTCTCCCAATTCAACACATGTTTTATTCTTCAGACTATTCTGTCGGAAAATTTTATGAGGATGCAAGGCAAGCTACAAGATCTATTCTTGATAGTGGCCGTGTTCCCATAGTTACTGGTGGCACTGGATTGTACTTGCGCTGGTATGTGATGATATCTTCTCGAGTAAATGCTAGTTTTGATCTTTGTTTCTTTATTTGTTTCTTCTTGTTTTAGAGTTGGAATGTTTTTTTTGGTCTGTTTATAGCTAGGATGTTGAGTATAGATTAACATAACTGGTCTCTTAATGTAATAGCCTCCCTTGTAAACTAATAGCTTCTGAAATGACATCTGCTTATTGATTGATGATATTGGCAACATTTAATTTGGTTGCTTAAAGGTGAATTTGAATAAAAATTTATGTAATTAAGAGCAATAACCTTCATTTTCTTTCTCTCTTCTTGTTGGTTGTATTAATAGCATTTTTGTTGTTGCAGGCTCATATACGGAAAACCAGATGTTCCCAAAGCGTCTCCAGATATTGCATCTGAAGTGTATTCCGAGTTAGCGGATCTGCAGAAAAATGAGGACTGGGAAGCAGCTGTGCAGTTAGTGGTCAAAGCAGGTGACCCAAAGGCTCAATTTTTGGCTGCCAATGACTGGTATCGATTAAGACGCAGCCTTGAGATCATTAAGGTTGGTTTGTGACGTATATGCATTCCTTGAACAGAGACACAGACGCCTGCATATCATTATTTTTTTTGATAAATTTGCCTCAATATTGACTCTTTAGTTGCATTGTTTGAAGCTTATCCCCTTCAACTTCACTGATGGTAGATGTAATTATATGCATGTTCTGAAATGACAGTCTAGTGGATCACCTCCATCTGCATTTCAAGTACCCTACAATTCTTTCAGGAAACAATGTGATTCTAGTGTAGTTGACAGACATGACATCAATCCTTCTACTGATGTTGTGGAAGAATTAAAATCAAAGGAATTGGACTATGATTTCATTTGCTTTTTCCTCTCAAGCAAAAGAGTTGGTCTTTATAGATCAATTGACTGCCGATGTGAAGATATGCTGTCAGGTAAATCTTACTATGGCACATCACTACAAATTGATCATTCATCTTTGAGTTTTCAAACTCAAATCAGGCAATTTCATTAGGTTTACATATGCTGATCTTTTAGGATCATTATTTCAAAGAGGGTGGGGTACTCTCTCTCTCTCTCTCTCTCTCTAATCTTTTTTTTTTTTTTTTGAACTCTCTGCAGGAAGTGATGGTATCTTGTCTGAGGCTAGATGGCTTCTTGATAGTGGTCTTCTTCCAAATTCAAATTCAGCAACCAGAGCAATTGGTTACAGACAAGTATACCTCTGATATTCCTATATTATTTTTCAAATATTCAAGCAAAGGTTGTCTGATTTTGTTTCATTAAAATATATGTAACATTTTTTGTCATTGTATTATTATGTGCAATAGGTAGTAACAGTAAGAAATATTTGCTTTTAGGCAATGGAGTATCTATTGATGTGTAGGCAGCAAGGAGGTAGCTCTCCAAGAGAGTTCTTCAATTTTTTATCTGAATTTCAAAAGGCTTCTAGGTAATGCGTTTTCTCTTCAGATTTATGTATCAAAAGCCATAATTGCCTAGGAAATATGTTTCACCAAGCTTTCAGACATTTTCAATGTAAATTGGTTGTAACTTGTATAAGCAACAACAGATGCAAAATATATTGTCTGGAAAAACAAATTTCAGTTATAAGTATTTATAGAGAGAGAAGTGGAGAACTACACGATTTGTAGAGTTTACAAGATTCTCATCATTACATTCCTCAATAGAATTTATTAAATTCATGTGCAGAAATTTTGCAAAACGGCAATTGACGTGGTTTCGTAACGAGAGTATCTATCACTGGCTTGATGCTTCCAAACCCTTGGTATGTTTTCCAATTTTGTT